TCAAACGTTATGGTTCTAAATTATGCTTTTTGTTGCCAGCTCCTTACGGCTGCATGATAGCCGGCCAGAAATCAGCAGACGACGTAAATCATAAATGGAAATAAAATAAAGTAAGAACTTTTCGCTGATCGGATGCACATCGCACCTTAACTTGAACGACCGTTTAGTTACCACAAATGACGTTCATGTTGGAAATATAGCAGATTCCAACACACTAATCGCTATAAGCCTCTAATTGCTCTGTTTCTTTTAAGGTTTTTGGCCTCTCAATCATCGCATAAACCACAATGGTGACCCAGAAGCTATGGGCATGAAACTTCTAATTTACATTTTTCCTCAACCACCTGCGCATCAACGGGCATTTAACAAAATTGTTTACAATGCGATCTCGAGTTCAGATCTTTAGAAAGATGTATTATTGGCTTATCTTTTAAAACATATAGCTCGTATAGCCTGAGAATTAAATTGGTAATTTTCTCTGATGCTGCGGGTGCAACGAAATGAAAATAATCGCTAATTCAAGATTTAATCTTTGAGTGCAACTGATGTCTTATGTTAATTCAAATTCATGGGGTTCCACGACGCTTCGGCGCCGCCGTTTGAGCCCTGATCGATGGTCGTTGTCAGTGTGTTGTCCTATGACCGCGTGTTCCAATGAACTGAATAACCAAGCCTCCATGTTAATATCTGAAATGCTATAAGCTGAATACAAAGGTTCTCTCCAACTATTGAATTTGTGACAGTTCCGTTTTATTTTGATTTCGTTGTTCTGACTGTGATAACCTATTAAGTCAGCACAAAATCGAATGTCGAGAGTGCGACAGTTGTTTTTTATCAACAGATGTTTGCCTTTGTCCGGTTTGTAATTCTTTTCATAATTTGCCAGAGTACGAAAACAAAACGTACGAAATTATGATACGAATGATAAAGGTACGAAATTGTGTCAGATTAGCGATTTTGAGGTACAAGGATTTGTTTTAAAAAGGCGCGATTACATAAGTTCATTAAGTCTGGTCCATGTCACTTCTTCGCCATCTAGGTCCACGCAATTCACAATGCCTAACTCTATCGATTTGTCATATTGCATATCAATGAAGGTTCGCGGAGAGCCAAAAACGAATCGCCAATCAAATTTATGAATACGACATTTTCATTTTATGGTTGCTTATGAGAATCGTGCGAGTTCAGTAAATCAGGTTGCAGATAGGTTGTCCGTCGATATGGAGGTCTATTGGCAGGCTTCGCGAACTGTGAAAATGCTGAAAAATATATTATGAATGGCTATCATAATAGAGATGTTATTACTTATCTCCGTGGTCTAGCGCAATGGTGTAATATTTTACCCATCAGACTTTGTAATGCAAAGGAAAGATGCTTCATAGTTTAGTTCGCTATCGTTGCAAAGAACTCGACTCAATATTCATTTATATTTACAAATTTAAATTTCGAAAAACAAATGGGTAGCGGTATAATTTGTTTCAACTCAAAACTTTGGTACGAAACGGTGATTGAAAGTAGTAAAATGATGATTAAGTAGCGCGATTGATTGTCGGCTTGAGGTTATTTTCTTCCTCCGGGGTTACTGAATATATACTGTAGTGTTTGCGCAGAAATGGATGTTATTTACTGCAGTGTCTTCGATTGTTGCACCTGTGTTCTGTTAACTTTGAAATGTGATAATTTCATTTAGTGTAAACAGTGAGTCGCAAAAGTGACGCTGCACTAACTAACTCGCCTTGTGCAAAGGGATGCTCAAAAGCA